AGAACTAAAAAAAAAAAAAAATAAGTACACAAATGATGTGAAACCTCCTTAAAAACAAAACAAACCCCCAACAAGACCTCTGGCAAGAGGCTGTGGGTGTACATGCTACGGATGGAGATCAGGTTGGCAATGCTAAAAAGAAGATGTATTAAAAACAAACAAACGAGAAGAAATCGCTTCCCGGTGGCAAGTCAGACCAATGACCTAACGAAACATATGAGACATGGTCATCAGTGCTAATTAAAATGGGGTTCTCTGTACTGGTGATGCTGGGAAAAGTCTTGTGCGCTTCACTGGAGAGCTAAAGCAGCACCAAGCAAAGGCTGGGGCTGCTCAGCCTCCGACAGCTCCTGCTCTTCCCTCAGCTCTAACAGCAGAGGATTCAGCTCTGCTTCAGTTCAGTTTTCAAAGCAGTTCTTCAAATTCCCAATAAAAACAGACCTACTTCCTTTGGAGCAGGTGCAGCGACATGAACGCTTGAGGAAGCCTCTCACTCCATCAGCAACAGGTTAATTTTTCTGGCCTTACAGCATTGCTCTGCCCCATCGTAGACCTGCTGGGAGATAAACCCAGCGCTGGTTTGCTCTCCCCAGCACCACGGTCCCCAGCACTGGCCACAGCGCTTCACATGCTGCCCAGCCAGGGCTGAGGGATCCCCGCTGTGGTTTCCGCTGCATTTAACGCTGCGTAATTAGTCTTATCGCCGCAATCCACATACATAAAACCACCCCTGGCTTGCTAAGGAAAGGTTAGCAGTCACAGTCACCCAAAGGCAGTGGTTTTAGCTTCTCTCCTGAGCCTCCCCACGCTTCTTCTACCTTCAGCCTTCAAAAACATCTCTTTGGTTGCACAGTGAAGTGGATCACAGAACCAAGCAGGATTAAAAATTAACCCTGCACTGAGTCAGGTACGGGGCCCTTCAGTCCTGCACCCCACCTCCAAGAGAGGATGCCAAGGAAGGATTTAAAAACAGACCACATAGGGATGCTTCCCCCAAACACCCTCCCCACCTCCAGGGATTAATGGCTCAGAAAACCTCTCAGTCACGGATGGGATCTTTGTATTCAACAGCCTTTCAGGTCTTTTTTCTCTCAAATACATTTTTACAGTTGATTTTCACACCTATGTAAAAACAACTTAATACAATGAGGAGTTTTGCAGATCTTGCAAAGTAAATCACATTTCCTTGCTGCTCAGAGCCTGCCATCCGCTCGCTGCACCCGCTGCCTCCAAACCCACCCCCAGCTCAGTCCCTTCACCTAAACGTACACTCCAGTACAAGGGATGCAGGAGCATGGGGAAGGGATGAAGCTAGCAAGGCCAAGATAATTATCCTGCTCCGGTGCTGTGCACTGCCTTTCAGTCCATAAAAGCAAACCCCAAACAAGAGGAAAACCAAATAGTCACAGGGCAAGAGGCAGTTCTGCTCCAAAGAGGTTACCCCCTAATGAGATCAACCCGCAGAGGATTGAAAGGACTGCCGAGGGAGTCGAAATGGCTGCAGAGGTCATGCTGGTGGGAGTTAAGGCCATGCCCGAGGCTTTGCCCGCGGACGACCACTCTTAGGTCATACGATCATTACATCTGGTGCGAGTAGGCAGGTTCAGAAATTCAGGACATTTATGTAACAGGGACTGAGCCACGGCCACTGACACCTGAACTGTGCTGCGTGCATGAAGCTGGATTGGCAGAGGACCTTGCTGACTCTAGAAGATGAGAGCTGCAACAGAAGCACCGGTACCACCAGCACGGCACAGCTGCTCTTTGCTTGTTACCTGCACTGGTACACTTCAGTGGAAACTTCAAGAAGGAAGGAAAAGAAAAACTAAAGAATCAAACTGAGCCTTTCTTTTCAATTAAGTCAGCGGAATTTTAAAAAATTTTCCAACTGAAAAAAAATGTTCAGATTTAAGGAACTTCTAATTGTTAAAAAAAAATCACTTGGAAATGAGCAGCTAGGCTCATGGGAAATCTTACTGCAAGCAGTCTAGAGGATAACTTACTTTTCTTGGATGTGGGAAACCCCAAATTCATTTTTCCATGATCACTTTACAAAAGAGATTAGTCATCACCCTGAACACCAGGCAACAGAGTCACTCTCATGTGCTGTCTCCATCTATTCATCTTTAATTTACACTAAAAGCAAGAAGCATATGAAAAGTTTCAGCAGAAATCCTTAAAACCACCTTGAAATGCCTTACAGGTCAGTAGGGAACCCAGCATCCCACAAGGAGAGAGATGCCACTGCTGGCTGCCACCGTAAATAACACAAAGCTGGGGCTGAACTCCTCTTCCTCTATATGCTCTAACCACGGGAGATGGGGGCTCCCGCTGCAGTCCTGTTTTATAATCAGCACTTCAGGCTCCCTGATAAAATAGCTCAAGAGGAAGAAAACAAGGGGTGGGGTGAAGCCACCAAATGCATTAAGCATTGATCCTCCTGTCAAAGGTTTGAAAATTATTATTCAAGGTTAACAGGCATGTCGGAAAAATTTAGCTGGCCTAGATAGAAGTCAGCTGGACGATACTAAACTTTCATGAAAAATGAACATACTTACTGCTATTTAAAAACAGTCTTCTCTGAATCTTTATTCATATGGCTAAAATAAAAAATGTCAAACATTTGGTTTCTGAGACTGACTCTCCGATCACTACATATACCACTGGTCAGAGTCCTCAATGGGAGAGGAGCTGGTCAGATGTCTTGGGTAAGCACCATAGAAAAGTTCTGCTAGCTCAGATTTAATAGAAACCTGGAGGAACTACAAAATACAACAGCAGGATGGGCAGAGCCATCTCTCAGGGCTCAGTTTGTGCCCCAGGGCTGATCCCTCTTCAGCCTTATTCCCACACTAAAAACCACTCGGTTCTGCCAGTGTCTCCTACATCATGTGTCTTTCCAGATTTTCCTCCATTTTCCTGCCTAAAGAGTCTGCATTCATTCCCTGTAGCACTCCAGTCACAGAAGCTATCTCACTTTGTCTCCATAAGTCCTACTACTTTCTTAATTGTCCCTTAATTGTTTGATAGGCTACAGGTGCCAGTCCATGAGCGCTGGCCAAGCACAGGTTCCCAGGAGGAGCCTCCCTCAGCCCCTGTCCCAGAGAGCCCCGACCTTGAACGGACACAGAGGAGGACCATGCTAAAGAGGGATTGGAAAGGTAAAGTAAGGAGAGATTACTTCTTCAAACAAATGCAAGATCCTCAGGTGGGACTGAGTTATGACTGAGGAGGTAAAAAGCTCCTCTCCTCACTTCCACTCAGGACACAGCTTCTGATCGCAGCTCTCTGTGCAGGACCTGGATTAGGCTTCAGCTCAGCAAATCTCTTGGGCAGCAAGTGAGCTTCTCCTGCGTCTCCTGCTTTTAGGGGGAGTGGCAGAAAATGCATAAGGAAATAATAGTACGAGCCATCCTCCTTTCTCAGCACAGGTCAGAAAAAACACAACACATGAAAAAGTACAGGGCTCTGTTTTTCCCAGAGCATCCTTGGTGAGCGTTAGCATCACTGCCTGGTCCCTTCCTCCTTTCAACTCACACAGCCTACCAGCTTCCTACTGTCTCAGAGCTCACAATTTACCATCCGTCCTTAATCTTCTCTTTTGTACTAACAACACAATGTAACTGCAACATCTTTTTATGCAACAATTGATAAGGCAGATCAGAGCAAACAAGGAAACAGCACGCAGGACACAGCCAATAGTAATGGTACATCCTGCAGTGCTTCCTGTCACCTAACCACTGAAACGACAAAAAAACCCCAAACACTTCTTTAGTCTGGAGCTTCACAGCTGTGTGAAAATAAACATATGGAAAAAAATGAAAATGCAATTCAAAAATACTGAAAAGAATGTAAAACTTACCAGGCTCTAACTTGATGATTTTTACAGCAGCCAGTTCTCCTGTATGAAGATTTCTAGCCTGAAATAAGAGAGTTAAGACACATTTAACTATACTGCAAAGGCACCTCGCAGTCTTACAAACTGTGAAAAGATATGCTATGATGTCATGCGTTACAGATATGGCACAATGCAATTAGCTGAGAGCAACCTGGGTGAGGATTATCTGGTTTTGGCATCAACCTAGCCGGAGTTGTGAAGCACTACTGGCAGTTCCTTTTATGAGTTTAAAAAACCCCAGCTATCCGCCAGCAAATGAGAGTTCATGCCTCTCAAACACCTTTTTCAAGGGTTGTTGAGACTGAGAAGTTTCTGCCGTCCGTGCTCGCCGGGGTGGTACGAAAGCTCCGTGCTGCACCACGGACCATCAGAGCGTGGAGCGTGCAGCGCTCAACCACCCACCTCCTGGTGCTAACCTCAGCGTGCTCCGAAAGTGGAACTGAGGGTGGAGGGGCAGGGAGAAGCACTGCAGATGCTGCAAGAATGAGGCACAGCTCCTTGCGAACAGCTACACCCCAAAAACAAACTCCTTCCAGCAGACCCTGACAGAGGCGAGTGGTCCCCACCACCCTGGAGATGAAGAAGGGGCAGGCAGCTCCAGCTCAGCCTTTACAGAACTGTCCTCTCCACATACACTCGAAACGTCACACTGAGAATTCAGTGCTGGAGGAAAATGTCACAGGAACCTCAGATACAGAAATTTTTAAGAGAGGATTTCGTTAACACTTTTAACTCTAGTAAAATGAGCTCTACATCACTCGGGCACCACCACCAGAGCTAAACTATATTATTTTTGACACACAACCTGATCCAAATAGTGACATTCCCCTTTTGCTGATCATCCAAAAGTTACAGGAGTCTAAACCCAACTGCTTCGTTCTTACCCTAACAAACATACTAAGTCTTCTGGGCATAGGAAATCTGATTAACAGGTAGATTACAAAAATTCAAGGGTAAATTGCATTAGGTGAAATCGATGTGGGCAGTTACCTAAGATGAGGATGCAAAGGGAATTTGCCCCCATGGACTGAACTGAAGGAAGCTACTACAGAACAAAACATTCTTCTCTTGCATACGGACAAGAAATCTTAATTTAACAACAAGTAAAGCAAGAACTTGGAAGATGAACCCCTCAGTTTTGTCAACACTTAGTCAAGCTTACAAATTGGGAAAGGCTTTTCAGCCAGGGAAAAAAAGCAACCAACCAACCAACAATTGGCCTGTCAAATTCCTGTAGTGCTCAGCCAAGAGATGGGTGTTAAACACGTGCCAGGGACATAAACATGACTCAACTGAAGTCAAAGAGAACCTGAACAACTGTACAACAGAACTAAACATCTGAAGCCAACAGACCAAATCAGTGAACACAGAAACAGATGGTTATCTGCTAACCACAAAGGAAATCTTCACCACTTCCTAAAGTACCTTCTTAACAGAGGTGTTTTTTAGACTACAGCAAAATCATTGGTATCCTTCGACATCCAGAAGGAGCACGCAACCAAGCACGGACAAAGGATCAGGACCTCTCTGGTACCGTGACACCCAACAAGATCATGATGGAACACAGATGTCCCCACGAGAGCCCAAG